ATATACGAGCAGGCAGAGAAGCATCTCCAGGCAAACAGCCAAACTATGTATGTATGTCATGCAGACGTGTGACATTCTCCTGGTTTTTATTTATGTTTTCATTAAACTCTCACAAGTTAGAGAGGTTCATTGCACCCATGCCCTCCTTATGGGTTTCCCACAGGTATCTGATTGGTCACTATAACAGAGAAGATAGTAAAGCCGTCTTTTTTTAGCAGAACAACTGCTAACCGGGAAAGAGTTTAATAAGCAAGCACCAACAGATATTCCACAACTGAAGTTTCCAGAAGTTGTCTTTTGCAGCTTTCATAATGCACCAGGAGAATGTTACACTGGAGGACAACTTGCAATATTTACTTTATCCCTGAGTGTTTCTGATGCGATAACAGAAATGTTCAAAGTGTTCCAAAGAGTGCCTATTTTCATGTGTGATAGCTTGAATGATGCTACATTTATCATTCTAATTAGCCAAACCAGATGAACTTGGCAACAGTGCTTTTTCCATATTTCGTGGAAATTTGAGGCTCCTGAGCTTGGTGCTGATTCAGCATCCCTTTAGAACTGGCCCTTCAAATTGCCTTCCAGGAAAAAAAGAGCTTTAAAGCAGTACCAATACATGCAGATGGCGGTACAGATAGTGCCAACTTTCCTGGATAACACAGCAGCATAACAAAGAGCTGGTTGTCCAGCCTATTGCCTTGCCTGCCACATCTCTCCTTGCTAGAGAGGGTGAGAACTCATTCCCTCCCTCCCTGCAGACAGTTCTTGCAGCAAGAGCAAGGAAAACTTACTCAGAGCACTCAGCCCTGGCCAAACTCGGTTGGGGATGGAGGCTCTTGGCAGCTGGGTCTGATCCAGGCTTCTGCCTTTTGTTTCAGGGCATTTTCTCTCTTGGCACAGCTCAGAGGCTCTCAATGTTGTGCTTCAAGAGTCACGTGGTGAAATATTTGTACAGCTGTATGACGCTAGAGAGACACATTGGAGAGAAGAGGTTGTCTCCTATTATTTAGCAGTACAAATCAGTGTTAACCCAAAGCAGAGCTTGCCTGTGCAGTCTCTCTGTACAAATCCAAAGCATCTCTGGCCCAACTGTTTACTGCACTCACCCATCCTCCCAGCGGAGCAAACGGTCACACATCTTGATGTTGTTATGGCCAGGCTAGTTCCAACATTAATAGTTCGGGAGCATCATCTTGCCTTTCCAGGCTTACTGACTCATTCAAGGTGGGCCCCAGGCAAGGGCAGCCTGAGAAATTATGCAGACTGGCTCAGGATGGGAAGCTACTGTGAAAGTAGGGATTTGCAAGCACCCTGATGCTCAACCCCGCAAAAGGGTCAAGCTTTTGTGAGCATTTGCAAGGGCTTAAGAAAGACATACTTGAGGTGCCTGCAACCTTCCCTGGCAGCCTTCCCTTTCCCAACCTGAACAACTTCTACAAAGCATGGGATTCCTCTGAGTTTGCTGATACTTCTCTCTTTTGTATGGGTGGTGCAGTTTTGGCTGCATGAGGATTGGCAGTCACCCACCCAGCCAAATCACTACTGTACAGTCTTCAGAGAGTAGCTGGAAGGAGGGGGCAGAAAAAGGTCCGCCTTTCCTTCCACTTTGCAGTTTTAATCTGAAATCTTAGACGCAGTACCGTGCCAGGAGTTCAGAAACTGCTCATGCTAATGAAATTCCCTGCTGCAAAATGTGTCTAGAACAATGGGAGTGCTTGAAACTGAAGCACCTTGTATTTTATGTGTTCCTAAATGTGTAGCTTCAGAGCATACAGGGGAAAAACCCGCTTGATGATCTTCCCACGCACATTCTTCAGAGTGACCCTAGGAGCCAATCCTCACCTCCGTTGACTCTGATTAGCTCCAATCAGCACAAAGGGTGAGAAGACTTCTCAGTGGCTAAAAAGCTCCCCTTTCCTGCTGATTCATAGAATCATAGAATCATAGAGTTGGAATAGACCACAAGGGCCATCGAGTCCAACCCCCTGCCAAGCAGGAAACACCATCAGAGCACTCCTGACATATGGTTGTCAAGCCTCTGCTTAAAGACCTCCAAAGAAGGAGACTCCACCACACTCCTTGGCAGCAAATTCCACTGTCGAACAGCTCTTACTGTCAGGAAGTTCTTCCTAATGTTTAGGTGGAATCTTCTTTCTTGTAGTTTGGATCCATTGCTCCATGTCCGCTTCTCTGGAGCAGCAGAAAACAACCTTTCTCCCTCCTCTATATGACATCCTTTATATATTTGAACATGGCTATCATATCACCCCTTAACCTCCTCTTCTCCAGGCTAAACATGCCCAGCTCCCTTAGCCGTTCTTCATAAGGCATCATTTCCAGGGGCAACTCTAGGACACTGAAGACAGGGTCCTTGCTGCAGAAATAGTAATGGGCCACTATACCTCTGGCTCTCTCTTCCACTGAGCTATGAGCTTTACAAATTGAGCTGTGCTGAGACTTTACCCTGATTCAGATTAAAACCCCAGCATTTCCTTTTCTCCATGTGGGCAGAAGCTGAGGAAGCAGCAGAGGACTTGAGGAAGCAAGAAATATATATATATATATATATATATATATATATATATATATATATATGCAGGTTTTGGTGTCCTCGGGTGTCTTCCGGGAAGACACGGGAAGACACCCGAGGACACCAAAACCTGCATTCCTGTACCCGTGAAATCTACGAAAGCAAATATATATATATATATATATATATATATTTGGAAGCACCCCTGCTTTTCTGCTCTGTGGCTGCAAACACATCTATATATGCGCACACATTTTCTCTCTGCTGCTGGCAAAGAGCCAGCCCCTTCAGTGATGCTTCTGCTCCTTCAGCCGCCACAACCTTTTGCTTGGGAAATCGTGCTGATGAGGCAGTTGATGAGAATGTTGCCGGCCATTAGCGGCTGTCACTTTTATGTCCTCCTTTGTGAGTGACGGGGCAGATGAGGCCTCTTGATCCCATTAGCCACCTCCGCAAGGTCCTTGGGCCTGCTAAGGAGCTGTTGCTGCCAAGAAAACATCCACAGAGTGGTGGTGCATGTGGGAGGGAGCCACAGGCACCAGCCACCTGCTGGAGAAACCTGAGCATTTCTGGAGGCCCAAAGCGGTTCTAGGGACCATTGCAGAGCAACAAACTCCATGCTTGCTACTGCATGTACCACAAACAGAGCCACAAGCAACCTTGGCTCTCCAATTAGTGTACATATATGTGATCATGTGTACTTCCAAACATCTGTGTTTTTTTTAATGATGTTATGAGTTTGGTGGAGGGGCAGGCTCGCCATAATCTCTACATTCAGAATCTGAGCGAACTCATACATTTATGAAAGTTTGGTTAATTAAAACTAAGCCAAGTGGTGTTGCTTTCAGTTTAGGACAGGGGTCAGCAAGGTTTACCTCGCCTGGGCCGGTTCACTTCGGTGGAGATCCCTCCGTGGGCCGGATTGTACGGGCGGATGAGCATGCGTGGCTGTGATTTACGGCATCTGCATCAACACAATTTCTGGTGTCTATGTCTGCGCAGACACGATTTCTAGCGTCTGAGCATGTATAGATGCGATTTCCGGCACCGCGGAAGCAAGTCGCCGTGCTGCGCCGGTTTAGTGCAGCGCGCGGGGACTCAGTGAGTGGGCAGCTCAGTTCGGGGGCGGCTCGGGGGCTGGCTAAATGACCCTCAGGGGCCACTTGTGGCCCATAGGCCTTAGGTTGCCTACCCCTGGTTTAGGATCACAATCTCAGGCAACTTCACATAGCTAGCTGGGGATAAGCCAAGCCCTTAATGAGACGAAAGGTGTTGATGGCCCATCTAAGAGGAATCCTTGGGCCTGGGCAGACAGAGGTTGCCAAGGTGATGGTGTGAGGTGACAGGAAAAGAGTGTCTTAAGCAAGGGGTGCTGGGAACATGAAGAGAGATGCCCCCAATCTTCCCTTTCTGTGACACACTGAGTGACATTTTGGAGTCATTTCGGAGTCTGGCACCGTGCATGCATGCGCAATCACATGTCTTTTGGACATGCATCAATTGGCCATTTCCTGTACTCAGAACAGAACAGAGAAGTAAGCCTCACTTATTTCTGTGGCTAATAGCCAAGTAACTGTGCATAGGATTGCTGCCTTATATTAAAAGGTAAAGGTAAAGGTACCCCTGCCCGTACGGCCCAGTCTTGACAGACTCTGGGGTTGTGCGCCCATCTCACTTAAGAGGCCGGGGGCCAGCGCTGTCCGGAGACACCTCCGGGTCATGTGGCCAGCGTGACAAAGCTGCATCTGGCGAGCCAGCGCAACACACGGAAACGCCGTTTACCTTCCCGCCGGTAAGCGATCCCTATTTATCTACTTGCACCCGGGGGTGCTTTCGAACTGCTAGGTTGGCAGGCGCTGGGACCGAGCAACGGGAGCGCACCCCGCCGCGGGGATTCGAACCACCGACCTTTCGATCGGCAAGCCCTAGGCGCTGAGGCTTTTACCCACAGCGCCACCCGCGTCCGCCTTATATTATTAATGTGTTAATAATACAGAAGTTCCTCTGCTCTGATGGGGATCTCCTCTCCCCCAGAAATATTTAGATTTATGTTCTCAGATACCTGCAACATTCTCACAAAGAAAATGGAGAATTCACTCAGGGTTCAGCCTGGTTTTCTGCATATCAAATGATAGTGGGTGCTCCAGAGCCTCGAAAATAGGACACCTGATATGAGAGGGGGAAAGTAATTTCTAGGGATTCATTAAAAAAAAAAAGGATGTATGTCAATGCAAAGGTCTCTGGTGCCTTCCAAAAGGATGCTCAGCACATAATTTCTGTCCTACCTTTGCATCTGCGTTATTCTACCACAGGGGACCACATCTTGGTTGTCATGACAACAATGACGGAATGGCAGCCTGCTGCATCATCGCACCATCTCCACAAGATGCTCTGGTGAGATGCTCTGGGAGAAGCTTACCAAAGGAGATGCACATCAAAAATACTGTTTCCCTTTCACCTTGATTTTCAGCATGCTTCACACCCACAAATAGAAGTGAAGGAAGGAAATGGTACCTGTAGGTTTTCACAAAAGGAACCTTTGCAGTGCTGGAGCCTGAGGACAAAAGCAGGCAACAGGGGAATTTATGGTTCTGGAGATTCACCAAGTCAGAGGTTGTTAACAATTGTGAGTGCTCTGCTTACTGACAAGGATTTTAACCTCTGAGAAAAAGAAATAGATTTCATCACTGTTCTGTGAGTATTGACCATATCACATGTATTTTGAAGCTGAAAATGTTTAATTGTCTTGTTCCATGTGTTGGTGACTTTAGGGGGGAAATAATTGGGCATAATGCCTTTTGTTGGAGGGATTCTGTGAATACACTGTAAGGGGTGGGTCAGGGCATACAGTCAGTGTTGTAAACGGAAGCTAGAGGTCTACGCTGGAATTGATAATGATAATTGACACTTACATGTGCATTGTGGTTTGTAGAGTTTCATAAGTAAATGTATGTTTTTTGGAGCTTGCATACAATCCACATTTCAGCAGTGGATGAGAAAACATTAAAAAGGGAAGAGGTCTTGCAGGGACATTCACTAGTATTATGTATGTGTACACACACACACACACACACACACACACACACACGCATGGTGCCTTAAATACTAATTTAAACTGAGACAGGTCCCTGCCCCAAGAACTTTGCAATCTAAATTTCAAGTAAACAGGGGACAGAGGGAGACAAAGGCAGCTATAACAGGGGAAATATTACGTATACACAAATGTGGTTATGGGGCAATGCAGTCCTGTGCATGCTTATTCAGAAACAGGTTCCATTGTGCTTAACATGGCTTACTATATAGTAAATGTGTTTAGGTTAAGGCCGCGATGCAAAACAAACTTATTAGGAGCAAGTCCTATTGGGCACAGAGTAAACATGCAAACTATTGCAGTGTTGGGCTTAATTTTCTGTATGCTGTGAGGACTAAAGACCACAGCTCTCCATTCCAGGGAAAGTTTGCTTCTGGAGCCCTGATGAGAGCAGACCCCAGCCCTAGGGGATTTGCAGCAGTGTGTATACCAGAGTCCAAAGTGTACTGGTGTCCACACATCCAGCCTCAACTGTATGCATTTTATTTCCTTGGTGTCCTTTGAGATCAAAGAGCTTATGTAGCAGTGCACAGCCGCAGCTCACTGGGACTGAAGCACAAAGGGTTGCAGTTGCTTCATACCAGCATGATAATGTTACAGTGAGCCTCAAGTGACTTGTGCCTTACAGACCCAGGGATGCCAGCGTGGATCCATGCCAACTATTCCTAGGAACAGCACGCTCAGTTCTTCTCATGTGCATATACACACACACATGCACAGAGAGAGGCATGGACTTGTAGCATGCACAAGTTTTAAAGGGATGGCGCACCTGCTAAGAACTGTACTACCAGAGTTCAGTACAAAATGGGAGAGAGGTACAGGAGGGTAGGCCGCCCTCTGTGCCATGGCTGGGCCTGGGGTGCTCTCCCTTCTGCGCTTAAGCAGTTGTGCCACCACCTTTTGTTCCTTTTCAACACCCCTGGGTCATCTTCACTAAATGGATAGCTTATGTACCAAAGATGCGGTGATGTCCCCTGGCTGATGAGATGGCTTTAAAAAGAAGTTTGACCCATTGCTGGAGGATAGGTCTGTCAGTGGCTGTTAGACGCAAGAGCTAAATACATCCAGAGATAAGATGCCACTGGATACTAGTTGTTGAGGAGGGCTTGTTGCCTTCATGACATTCCTTTGGGTTTCCTGGAAGCATCTGGCTGTCCACCATGAGAAATACGATACTGGACTTGCTAGATGGACCAGTGGTCTGGCCCAGCTGTTATCACTTGATTAGGCAGGGTGGTGTTGCCCTGCCACCATCTGGAGGGCCTTCTTGTCCCTAACAGCTGTGCATGAAGGATGTTGCCCAACCCACTGGGAAGTAAAGGGAAAACACTGCGATCCAAAGCAGGATATGTCTTATTTCCTGCCTGCAGTGGCTATGAAACTTGGAGCAAAGCTCATTGTGTATCATAATGTGAATTCTGAAAGACAGGAGGAGTTTTACATGTTTTACGCCTCGCATGTCTTCTTTGCAAGCAGTCTGACATGCAGGTGAGCTTTTTGACCTTACATTTGTTCACTTCTTAAGGGGAAAGGTGTGCAAATAGTAAAGCACAGTCAGGGCTTTCAAAGCAATGTGGGAAATATTCCAGCCCAAATAGTGTTGTGAAATGTCGTGACAGAGTCTGGCAGCAGCTCTCCAGTGTAAGGCAGATTTATTCCCATCACCTGTTATCTGATCCCTTTAAACTGGAGATACCAGGGATTGAATGCATGCAAAACAGGTGTTCTGCCAGCAAGCTGTAGTCCCTTACTTCAGGTACAATTGCTGGCAGGTGAGCATTCTAATTTTTGTGCCTTGAAAATATTTACCTGCTACAAATCAAGGCACAAGAGCAAGTCAGGTGGCTATTTTGCAGTCAGGTGGCAATCCTCCAAACGATATTCTCCCCGCACACACACCCATATAACTCCAGAGTAGCATAGCAAAAAATAAGACAGGACCTTTTTCCAGTGAACTTAGAATCTTAATTGTAGAAGGCAAGGAGATACAAAGAGAAGACAGAGCCAAGGGTTGACTGTGAGCGAATGAGTACAGTTATATATGCACTCATATATACATAAACATATAAACACTGAAATATTTCATTTTCTTTGCGTGGTTTCCTCCCTCAAAAAAATTGTTAATAGATGCCCTTCACCAAATTTGGTTCCAGGGTGGTTTGCAAAATATGCAGTGAAATCCTAAACGAGTTTGCTTTAAAATAAGCTGCATTGTACGAAATGGTTCTTTCTGCCTGGTATGTGTGTTTAGGGCTGCATCCCAAAAATGCAGCAAAATAAAACTTTTTTAAAAATCAGATAACGAAACAGAGATTCTCAACTCATGGATGGACCATGTTTGATCCCATGACAGCTGAAAACCTCAGTGTTTGGCACAGATGAGACCTCAGATCAGCAAGGGAAAAAAGGGGTCGGCTAGCTCAACCCAGTCCATGGACAAAAGGGAAATGTATGCACATAACTCCTGTCAATGCTAATGGGAGTCACGAGATGAAATTCCCTAAGCACCAAGAGCCAAAGCCGCCCCCTCAATGTGCAAGCAGCATAAAGACGTGTCTGTGTGTGTGTTGGCACGGCTGAGGGCCTAATGTGGAAGAATAATAGACATCAGAAATGGACATGAATTATTTGTTCATCTTGCCCATCCCCATGGAAATTGCTCCAGAATTATTCTCTCCTTTCTGTTTTCGGGGAGTCCTGCCCGCTCAGTATTTAAACAAACATACATACAAAACTGATCTTTCCCCAGTCTCTTTTTAGACAGCTCAGCAAATCCAGGCAACAGATACTCTTGCAAGCCAGTTCTTATTGAATCCAAGTCTCTTCCTGCATCATTCCCCAGCCCTGTTTGTTTTATTCATCACATCTTGTTTCCTGCTGCTCCAACCAAGGAGCTTAGCACAATGCACAAGGGGCTATGCCATTGTCTCATCACACCATGGCTGCTAGATAGCTTAGGCTGGCACAAGGCCATACATAGAACTTCAGCAGGGATAAGAACTTGTGTTCCAAGACTAACACTGTATCGATCCTATACACATTTACTTAAGCACCATTGAACTCAATGGAGCTACTGCCAAATGAGCATGACAAGGGTTACGCTGTTATTGTAGCATAAGCTCTTGTGGACTAGAATCCCCTTCATCAGATGTTCATGTGGGGTTGAGGGTAGAACGCAGCCAACACAGCCTGTGACAATGCCATGTTAATTAACGTGACCATTTGCAGCAGCATTAATTGAAATGCAGAAAAAGAAAAAACATGACTGTACTTTTCTAATTTTATATCTGCCAGCTGCAGATAACACTGCATGCATCTGATGAAGGGGACTGCAGTTCACAAAAGCTTATGCTGAATGTATTGGTTTTTACGATACAGCATATATTTATGCAACAAGCACAAGGCTCTTTATTTGTTATTGCTAAATGTGTTTTGAGTCACACAGCTTCTATAATAAGTACAAGCGAGTACACTGTGGGACTGAGAATTGTGTTAAACATTCTTCCATTCTAAACAGAAGGAAACTGTTGTGTTCAGTTTACTAACATGTCCTGCTTCAGAAGGAGCCAGTGCTGTCCAAGTTATCGCAGGCTACAATTAATATAATGTACAACCATATTCAGCAATGTGTATTGGTGGTCGGTGCACATTAGGTGTGTTACATGATTGACTGTGCTTATTCTCCTCCATGGAATTTGGAAGTACTTACAGTTTGTGACTTCTAATTTCCAGAACCAGAAACCCTTTTCGGCATTAAAGCAACCTTATTCAGCTTCTACAGGGATCCTATTTATTGGCTCCTTCTTAAAAGGGGTGGGGTCTTCCTAACCCCTTGGTGAGTCCCCACCCCCTTAGAGAGTAGCAGCTTGTATGGATCAATTAAAAGGGCAAAAGGAAGGAGTTCCCCTCCCCTTAGGAAGTTTGAGTGTGCTAGTTTTGATAACTAAAATAGCAGGGGTTGCCTTTACATATTTTTATGTTAGTAGTTTTAGACTTTTTCCTTTCCTACAGGTAATGAGAATAAGAATTTGAATCCAAGTTGTAAAAAGAAAAATATATGAGAAGAGTATTTATTGCAAATCAGCATCTGTTTCACCCCAAAGGATTTGTTTCAAAGGTAGATTTCTCTTCGCTTAAAAAAGGTAAACAAAAACAATGTTTGCTTTCCCGGCTTGTATTTCTGAAGGGGTGGTGGTATTATTCTGTGGTTATTGATTGTCTTGTTTGCCACTGATAATATATTTTGGCTCGGCATTGTATAATTTAGCTATCTAGGTTTTGTATCTTTAACTTGAGGTTGATTCAAGGGTTGGTATGCTTTTGCTGTGGCCCTACACAGCAGTAGGGGCTAGTGGACCTGCAGCAATGAGGCAGTGGACACACACACTGAGGAAAGAGGAGTCCATGGAGGGGGTCTTGTATTGGACCCTCCAAAACCTGGAGCTTTAGGTAGTTAAATTTTAGTTTTGTTTTTGGACCGATGGTCTGTGATAAAGGATGTGTTCTTCTATTGTTTGTTTCCTCTGGCTTCTGTATGCTTTATATCCTTTAGTGCAGCTCCTGTATACAGTACATTCTCTTTCTGTCTTTCTGGTGGCAACAT